GATTTTGTTCAAAATTCAAAAGTGAATGAATCTTATGTCTTATTAGATAAAGTATACGACGAAATACCTTCATATGAAACGTTGAAAGTTTCAAGCATTTTCATTCGACAAGTTAGTTTCTCTTGTTTTATTAAAACAATTATTTTGATCAAAAGGAATTTAGAAGGAAATTCGAAATTTCCATCGAATCTTTCAGAATTTTGTTGGGTCATAAACGTACTTTTATATGTTTATGTATATACTTATCTTATACATGTCTGATATGTATGCTCTAACTTGTTTGTTTGTACTTTATACATCATTCATCTCATATAAAGACTTGGTCACCCATTATTCATTTAACAAGCTTCCACTTGCACTCCAATTACCATCAATTTCACTTCATTCATCTCCTAAACTGAGTACATGAAATAAACTCATCTCATTCGATTTTTTTGGTATACTATTGTTCTCAACGTGTTTAAGTTGACAGAGTGTATGAAAAATTAATTAGGATCTAAATATTTTTTATCTGGGATTATTATTGTATAATTTATTTGAACCCACAAACAAACACTTAAACCCTTAACCTGACATTAATTTAAATGTCACATATTTCCATCAATCTATTTATTTATATTAAACCATATTCATTATATCACATGCTTCCTTTACAAACGTACTACATTATGCATTTTATTTATTAATGATAAATGTTTATATTTTATTTCAAGCAAGATTATGTAATTTCTGTCAAAGTACTGACTAAGTTTGGGTTTCGTTATTTTAAAAAAATGTCTATTATTTATCACTGACAAACTTATTTAACTTCTGATGTCTAGAACGCATGTATGGATAAAGTGAATCTCTTACGAATACTATAAACGTAATCATTACACATTCTATTGTAGATTTGATATTGTACATGTTAGAGAGATCAAGAAAACTCCACGAAAAAAAAACCAACAAAGGCTTTCGGAAACACTGAGAAGCATCTTATCTAATCAGCATTCAGTAAACGTTTTACCAAAAACATCTGGAAAGTAAAAAGTCACATATCACGTTTCTGATTAGATGATTATCTATACTGCTACTATGTATAGTAGCGTTCCAAAACTTCCCGGAAACTTGAAGTTATCTAAAATACTATTAAAAATTCTAAATTTTTTGTACATAAAACGTCTTTTTGCTCCATATTTCGCGCCTTTTCTCTTGTGTTCAGGTCGCTGTGTATGTTTAGCCAGGAGGCTATTCGAAGAGTTTAAAAACCGGATTTAACGTTCAATTAGAAGACTTATCAGTACATAATTGTTTCCTTAATAATTTACAAAAACAAATAACTTTGTAAATCATAAGTAGCCATTCCCATTCAAATGAGTTACGCAATACTTTCGAAATTTTCTTAATAAGATAATTATCTGTAAAGTTGTTTCTTTGTAAAACATTTTGTTGATGATACATAAATGTTTCTTTTACAGATTCCCTTTTCTATGTAAAATGTTCAAAAGTTAGCCAAATGAGAATGTATATAATTGTATCCTAGTGTTTAGTAATAGTAATAAATGATGGAGAAAGGATATGTCACTGATTTTCTTGAGAATATGTTACAAAAGGCATGAACGTTTAATTACATATTCTTCAGAGACTAGTACGAACAGATATTGATTTTCGTCACAGAATAGCATTAGCCTTTAGATTCATGGCGAGACTCCAATTTATGGACGAGCCAATCAGAAGAGTTTTAGAGATTTCAAGTTTACGGCGCCAACTTCAGTGCTTAATGCTAACGTACGATCGGTTCACAGGGAATTTTGTACAAAACGTGATAATTGATCGGCTATAACAAATAAAACGGCGAGACTAAAATTTGTGGACGATAATACAACGAACTACTTATTTTGAACTGGTGTGCGATTGCATCGGGTAAACAGAAGCTGTTACTAATTGGAGGTCACTATAGTTCCCTTTTCATTGTCTTTAAGAAAGCAACAACGACAATTCATTTTCTTTCATCAGGTTTTTATCAGGCGCTTATAAATTTTTTTTTAAAGTCCAATTTATAAAGTGACATGAGCATGAATTTATTTGTGAGTTGTTATAATCGCATATGATAGTATAACAAATTTCTTAAAATTCAAAATCGTAAGTGCAATATCTTTTCTTTTGTTCGAAACCAGAAATTTGCCAAAAGACAAACCTTTACAATATAGGGCTTATAATTTCTTCACAATTGCTGTCCCTAGCAGGTTCTACCGATCAGAGTACGATACAGACCGAAAATCAACTGTTCAATGAGAAAGAAACTGACTGAACAATCTGAAAGAAGAAATTAAATTTAATAATCACAAACGCCTACTACTAAATAAGGAAATACCAATATTTAAAACAATTAGTCTCTTTGATAAATTTTGATAATGATATTAGAAGATTATCAGAACTATGTGATATATTAGCGCAATACATTTCGAACAATCTGGTCACACATATACTTGTTAAGAGCATTTATATATAAAAATAAAAGGTCAACTAGACAGGAAACGCGGTAAGAGGAGATAAGGATAATGATAATATTAATATTAATAATATTATTGTAATATTATATCAATGCTCTTAACAAGTATATGTGTGACCAGGTTGTTAGAAATGTATTGCGCTAATATATCACATAGTTCTAACAATCTTCGTCTTCTAATATCATTATCGAAATACCAATATGTTACCGACATTTGGAAGAAAAAGATGAAGAAGCTACCTTACTCAGAACACTTATCAATGATGAACACCCTAATAGACATATCAAATAGACAGAACTGGTGACAATCAAGTAAAGCTTCTTAAAGCAAAGTTAGCTGTAATCTCAAAACTATCAACTGAAGAAACATTAAATAATTGCGTAGGGAATCCATAAACTCAATCTTGATACAGAACAATTCTTGGATAAGAATTAAGGCACGACCAACCAAAGACTATTCAGTGATGTTATTCCATGGTGCATGGTACATATAACCCCAATTTATGTGTACAGAAGAAGTACGTAACCCCCCCCCCCATCACTTTCATGGCCAGTTATAACTTAACTAACGAATTTTTTTTGAATTTTATTATTATCATTATTTATTTTATTCTATTTGTGTTATCATTAACCTTACTTCCACATCCATTATTTGTTTGTAATGTTCCGCCTCTTGCCGTTTATATTCTTCACTATCTAATTATTTACACACATCTTATTACGTAATGATTTTAATGTTTTATGATTACTATTCTTAGTCTATTTACCTATGTTTGTTTGACCTTCTATTCCCAACGTTTAACTATTGATAAGAGTTTTGTTATCGTATTTTATTATTCTTACTATTATCAGTTCACCTGTCTTCCTACTACTATCAACTTGTACGTTTACCTATTATGTGTAGAGACGTATTCTATTTCATTGTGATTATTGACTCATATTGCCTTGATTGGTTTACATTTTCGCATAAATATTCATGTATATTAGAGTAAAGCCTGATGACGATCTAATTGAAAACAATTGTTCACTTATATGTGTTGTTCTAACCTATGGATACATTGTGTTGATAAAATCAATGTTATCCCCAAAGGAAACAAAATTGAAAATGCAGACAAAATTATAAACAACATATTCAACGATATCAAATCCACACGAGAAGTACAGACGACAAAATCCCATTCTTGGATTTGTCAATAAACAAGAAAACACGCGTAAACCGCAGACAAGTATGTACTGAAGACAAATTAAAGTACGACAGCTGAAACTTAAAAGAATTGACGGAAGGGCACCACCAGGAGTAGAGCTTGCTGTTCAATTCGACTGAACACGGGAAAACTCACCCGGCTCGGACACTGTGAAGATTGACAGATTGATAGCTCTTTCTTGATTTAATCGGTGGTGGTGTATAACCGTTCTTTGTTGGTGCAGCAATTTTTCCAGGTAATTCCGATAATCTGTTAAATAGTAGACCGGTCTTCTGTGTTCGTTTAGGGCGCGGCTTCCGTTGTTTTTTCATCTGGTAGTGTGGTCGTGACCCGGCGGGTGCGGTGCCAGTTTTTACTTCTTAGAGGGACAAGTGGCACATTTAATTCTCAGAAAAATGAGCAATAACAGATCTGTAATGCCCTTAGATGTCCGGGGCCACACGTGCACTATAAAGACGGTGCCAGTGAATCTGGAAACCTGACCCGAAAGGTTTGGGCAAACTTTTTGATCACCGTCGTGACTAAAGCATAGCGAATTTTCGGATTCTCATGTAAAGAAAAACCATAGAAATAGATGGATATACAGATAGTGCTAATTTACTTCAGATTACTATGCAGAATACAGTGAATAAGATTAGTTTCGGCCATTGAAAATCGATTATGCATTTTGTTGTATTTTTAAACAAAGTTTTTAAAAAACTTCCAAACACATGTATAAAAGCACTGTAACCGTTGGTAAATAGTCCTTCTTAGCTCAATTAATATGTATTCTAATTAAAAACAGATATAACATTGTTGTCACTTATGTGTTGTAAGCTTGAATTTATACATCCAGAATCTTAATAGAACGGTCACAAAGATCGGGGACATAAACCGGTATGGCTTTTTAATCTGTTACATCCACACATCAGATGTCACACAACTATCCAAATACAATATTCTTTTTCAACTACCTGGTCACTCGATTCATTATTTTCAGAAAAAAACTGAATAATTACTTCACAGTTTCATGTAAATTTAGCTCCATAAAACAGATGTACATGAATGTTGCTTTCCCAACAGTTTAACTGATTTTCGGTTCGGTGGTTATTGTAACTCTTTTACATTTAAAAGTAATTTTCTAATCCTCGGTGTATAAAATTGCCTAAAATCATTTATGTAGGAATGATAAGATATAATGATGTTTTGTTTTCTAGTCTGGATGATTGAATCTTGAAGTTCGCATTAAAAGTTTTGGGCAGTATTATTCATAAATATAAAATATAAGAGTAACCTATTATATCACTGAGAAAAAATGCAGATCAGCAAAAAAGTTTCCTCATTTCCACAATATCATTTTCTGAAGTCATACAGTCATCTTTATAATGATTTAAAGAATATATGTAGTTCTATGGAATTTTAGAAAAATATTACATCTTAAAGCGTTCTGAGATTTCAAGTACCAAAAGACAGTTGCGTAATGATCTAGAAATTAATGAAAAATAGGAATATGAAAATAATTTACTGGTTAGAAATAAGGGAGACAATTGTTGATAACAGTTGCGTGATAATTATGTTATAAGCGGGTGATAATTACCCATTGAAATGTAAACGATATAAAACAGAATGTAGGGGGTGTTAAGGAAATGGATATGAAACTGCACACAAAGTTGAGGCTTAAACTGCTAAAATGTTTAAAATTCTTCAGTAAACAATATATTGATCGTGTTGGCTTTGAGACAAATTGTTTTAGTGTACAGATTATTTTGAAGAAAGATTCTGGTAGGATAACATGGTCAGAAATAATGCAATGTTCCTGTTTTTAGCTGTTGATTGTTATGCATTCTCCTTTTAAATTTCACTATGGGTAACGTTCCAAGATGTGTTTAGATAGTATTCGCTTTGTGTGGTCAATATAATATCCTTCACAAGAGTAAGCTAACATATAAATGCATATTGATCTGGCCCAAACTGAAAGTACATCCATACACATCCATGAATGATAGATCGAATGAAGAAGTTGATAAAAAATTTACCAGTATAAAATATTTTCCTCAGAGATTATGTTACTCGCTGTGTCAGAATTTCTACAATAGTAGTATCGCCATCAAAGAGAGTTTTCATTTGAACCAGAAATGTTCTTTCACATTTTGTCTTTGTTTTCAAGTTAGTTTAAATGAACCTAAATGAATCATCATTTTTTATCAATGTTTATCTGATCTGAGATAGTACATTGTTTATCTAACTGTCCAAGATAAAAAGTGTATTAGATTCCTTTCTCTGATAAGTCGAGACCTGCTTTGTAAATTCATGTATTGATTATTTCATGTTAATTTTCTGTTTATGAATCTTCAGAGTGAATCATCTAACTATTTTAATAGAGCATCAAGGAAGTGAAACTTCGAGTTCACCTATATTTGTAATTCATACTGAATTGTACGATGATAATTGTTGAATTTATCCAAAGTGATAGGGGAGTAGATATTTTCGACCCAGATAATAAACGTATTATCTACTCATTTTTTGTATGCACTCACGCTCTTAATGATTGATTGAAGTGTCGTATACTCCAGATTGACCATGAAACAATCAGCCATAAAAGAGATCAGAGGTGAAGCCATAGCTTCATAACAAGTTTATCTATAAAACTAATTAATAAATATAAACAGGACATAGAATCTTATTATCGAAGAAGTAATCTCAATTATAAATGATTGTGTTTATACAGTATGGACTAATGAAACAAATGAATGCCATGTAAGAACTATTACAGAATACTCTATACAAAGAGAAAATCTGCAACAGTACTATGACATAAGACTTTGAAAATGAATAATGATATCATCCTTTAGTAAAAGCTTAATCAATTATCTGTTGGATTCATAATCCTTTGAACTAGATCATTAAAAAGAAATATAAAATCTTCTTCAGTTCATCTTGAAAGAACATTAAACGTATTTGAAGAAAGTTCAAAATCTCAATTCTACTTTGATTATGTAATAAAATGTAATTTGTAATTTTTCTACGTTTACATTTTATCATTCATATCAAATTATTAGCCTATTTTATTCACGTGATGATATCATATATCATATTATACTACTGAATTGGTAAATATACGTATTTGATTAGATTAAGTCTATCTACTATGCATGTATCTACGACTGAATGCAGAGCAATTAATTATTTCTTTTTTGTTAATGCTGTAGAAACGTACATTTGATCATGAAATAATAATAACAATCACAATATAATATCACTTGTTCTCATGTGTAAAGATTGAATGATTAATATACATAGCTGAAGATAAATGGGAATGTTTTGGTACGATTCTAGTATAGTTCATGTATTTCATTATATTGAATGCTTCATTCACCATTGATAAAATGCACTAGGTATGTTTAAAAATGAATTAATTTTATAATCATAAGTTAGATCTAGTGTTTAACTGAGAGTAACCTCAATAGGAGATAATGTACATTTTACTGAATCATCTATTGGAGCATTATTTACATTGATATGACATACATGTGATATAGGATTGTTATGTATTATACATTCATTTTCAGTTATCAATGAATTCATTGGAAGTTTAATGGATTCATTAACAAAAATTAAAGAAGTTGGTTTAACATTGGATACAGATGGATATCTTGAACTGTCTAATAATTTAAGGGTATTATTTGAAGTTGAAACAGATTGATCTGTATACACTTCTAAATAATTGGGGACTATATTAAAATGAATGTCATTTAATTTTAATAAACAATCAGTTGGGTTAGGATTATTATCTACAGATTTATGTGAAAAATATTGTCTGTCAAGTGTAGTTTCTCTTGGATGTAAAAAGCGAGTATTTGCATATTTAGTATAGTGATATTTATATGCTAGGAATGTGAGGAAGATAAATAAAACAAGGCTAGTACAACCTAAAACAGTTAATAACCATATATTAATATGGTTATTAACATCCTTTAAATTCCATTTATTACGATGCATTTGAGATTGGTTCGTATTATCTGTATGTTTATTATTGTTATTATTTGATGATTCATTCGAAAGAATATTGGTGTAATTTTTAAAATTCGACAATGGAAATCCCAAAATGGAATTGGTAATTTCTGAAGATTGTGATGATTTTTTTAGAACATCTTTAATTATGTCTTTGTTGTAGTCATCTTGATTGATATATGTTGTTGCACTGTCAGCGGGAATGTTTGATGTACTTTGAATATCAACATTTTTCGATTCAAATGATATTAACCTATAAATAGTAAAATAGATAATAACAGGTAAAAACAAACATGAAATCAAGGGAATAGATCATTGAATGATTTCCGAATGATTCTTTCACCTGTTATTATGGGGTGAGTACTGAAGATTTTGGAAATTTTGGAACTATTTCACCTATTGCCATTGTTTGAGTTTTTATTGTACAATTATCGCATGACTGAACTATTATGGTTCTATATTTCCCCTTCTTATAAGCTAGCATTCATCTTGCCAACAACTGCAATACAGTTCAGTGTCCTTCAGTTATTATTAATTATTTATTCATAAATTGACCTGTTCACTACCGCTTTTTGCTAGTTAATGTGTAAACTATGACTTTTTTCATGGTTTGATCTTACTCATTATGTCTGTATGTAAATGCATGTGTGCATGATGTACAATTATCGAAGCTTTCCGGTGGCGTTATTTTATTTAAAGAAAAGAAGGAGCTGTTTATATCAGCGGATCAACAACAGTCGAGGTTATTCGTCATTGTTCAAGGTTCATTTTTCTAGCCTAAAAGTGTCATTGGTTAAGTCTAGTAACTGGTCTATAGACGGACAAGTGCACTCGAATTTGAGAAGAACAGATCGGGATTTTGACTAGAGAGATTTTTTCCTGCGATGCTGGTTAAGGAACTGAAGACTAGCAAACGTTATAACATCACCTGTGAAACATCTTTTTGAGAAATTCCATTGGTAGAATGATTTATAAAATTAAATGTTTACTAATTTTAAACTACTCAAATCATATGATTACATTTAGTAGTCATCATTTTCTTTTTAACATCACCAACTGTTTATTGAAGGCACAATTTAGACTGAACATAATAAACTATGTAAATGTAATCTAAGTTATCAGATAGTGTCATGATATAAAGCACTGATGTATGAAATGCTGCTATAAATTAGGAAAATTATTTATTACAGAATTCCACTTTTCAGACAAGAGCTTAAAAGCGGATTTATGTAATTCGTTTGAAAATATCCATAAACAGTCCAATTCTATGTTACTGGAATTCTCAGAAGTCATAACAATTTGAGGCCATAAACCTGACTTTTGTGTTCAAAAAGTCATTGAGTAATTCTCAACTGACCTGATAACTTTGTGATTTATTGTTATTCCAATTACATGTAACCACAGTCTGCTCAACTGAACTCATATGACCTCTTTTCTTTTCTAAACTTCCTGAAACATTTTGTAAAATATATATTGCGTAATAAACTGTTCTCAATATTTCAGAACTATCAACTCAAGCAACAGTAGGACATTAATTATTAACTTCTTTCACATTGCACTTCACTTATTTTAGTGGTGATGAATAATCCACTTTCAAATATTTTGTTGTGAATAATTCAATATATTAGCTTGTATGGTGTAATTGGAGAAAAAGCAACAAAATTAAATGAATTCACTATACAATTGGTTCCCTTTATGAATTTAAATAAAGCCAGAATAAACATAGATGCAGAATTCATTATACTTCGTGGTTTCTCATCAGCTATTCATAACGAAATATGTATTTAAAGTTAACATTGAGGTAAGATATAGTGTGAAACAATTGACATAGATGAATGTGCAGGAACAGATCGTAGATATATATAAGGGCGGCCTGCTTGAGCATCTGGGCTACCTGTTTCTGCCATCTAGATATTTCAACAAGTTATCTATTGTTGTTTGTTTTAATATATCATTATGTTTATTAATCGCATAACCTATTCTGCTGCGTTTCTGAAAAGTGTACAACCTTTCGTTGTCAAAGTTACAGAAAACTCGATAAGAGACAATATGGCTGCTGGCAATGTACAACGAAAAGAATGTACATTATTCAGTTGTTCATTCACTGAAGTGCTAACATCTAACTGGCGATTCCTCAATATTTATCGCCAGGACCGACCAAGAAGAAAGAAACGGAAACTTGTTTAAATACTTTGCGCTGAGAATTCTATATTGTACCAAAATTATAATATTGAATAAAGCTAATAATAATAATAATAATAATTTGGTTTTAGAATCAAGAAACATGAGTGGTGGCTGATGTAATAATTGAGTGAAGTTCAAAGAAAGATAAGATGCACTGTGTTATAATTTTAGACGTTATGAAGGGTTTACACATGATTCTTGGAATTAAAACCTGATAAGATGGTTTGTGTACTAATTGAACAAGATTTTAAGAGTTTACATGAGCTGAGAGAATTAAGTGAATGGAAATGTATGGGTGAAGAGGTGGTTTCAATGTACACAAAATAATAATTCACTAAGGAAAGATCACATAAGAAAATGAACACTAACAAAATAAGGATAATGACCAAAAATGATTTGTCGGGGTAATAATAGGTTTATTGTTGTCTCTTTTTGGATACACAAATCAGGCTTGAGTTTCCTTATCGTAATTGCTTCAGCAAACCGAAGAGACGCTGTATTTCCTTGTCTACTAATAATTTTGAAGGCTTGAAGAATGCCAATAGTGTGCTCGGTGTTAGATAAATGCTGAGCTATTGCATTGTAAGGAGTCGTTGTGCTTCCCAGTCTCAAGTTCTTTGGAACATGTTCAATGTTAAAATTCATTTCATATATGGTTGTGAGCAATTGATGAGAAATCATGAAATATAATGAATTCATATAATTCTACATCCATGTTTATTCTGGCTTTATTCGAATTCATAATATTCCGCAAATGTTGTCGTTTTTAGTTTGTTTAAAATGGTCTAATTACTGGTAATATTTATTAGCGACAAGTGAAACATGATCACTTAGAATAGAAGGTTAAAACAGATAAAATGATAAAGTATTTGAAAGTAGCCCAATATTAAAAAAGTAATTTAATAGTTGAATTCATGAGTCCATTAAAGCTAGACTGCCACGGAAAACCTAGGGCACTGGACAGCCGTTTCGTCCTAGTATGGAACACTTTAGCAGTACGCACCCACGACACTACTCGCAGGATTCGAACCCTGAAGTCTAGACATGACCTCAGCATTAAAGATTTTAACCTTTAGTCCAACTAATTTTGTCCTCTTAAATAGAAACATTAAATGTTTTAATTTACAAACTACATGACATAATATGTTTCTCAAAATATAGTTTATTCTTGTTGTCCTTTATAATCTTTTCTAGTAGCCGTTCAGCCTCATTTGAGTGGTAACTAAAAAACTGTTTCGATAATTTCGTATATAATCCTGGAAAATAAAAATAAAATATCCAATATATAGGCAATTACATAATAAATTTGGCTTAAATTCTAACTTACTCATCAACTGAACGTGATGTGGGTAAAAGTGGTTGAAATGTAGGCACATATTCAACTTTTCCAAATCTCGCCACTTGAATAAATGGTAGATATTGTAGACCTGCAGCTAGGTCATTCAATAATAAACCATTGTAGTACACACCTAAAGGTGAATAACAAACAGGGACTGTGAGATTAAACATGAAAATGTAAACTGTAAGTGTACATTATGTAAAATGACTCATACAAGCATAGAAATAGCGACAATTCAAGGTGAGAGATTATTCTATTACTCGTTAAAGACTATCAGATACGATATCAAGTGGTCTACCGGAATGAACAGACCACTCAACTATCTTCAATGTTCTAAGTTTAACTTCATTATTGAGATAATTACATTGCTAGAAACTTGCTAACAGAAAAACCATGAATACAAGTCTTTATATTATACAGCTTTAATAGCTGTCCTTAGAATCATACACTTAAAACCAACTGGTATGTTAGAAGAACTGGCATATCAAAATTGAACAAATTCAGCATGTTTCTTACTGTAAAATGACTACAGTAATTAAACATATCCTTACAAGCATTGGAATTCATTTTTATTTATGTCAGTCCCTACCATAATCCGCCGATAAGTTGAGTAATTTCCTTGCAACTGCTCATAATGTTTCTTTATATAGCCGTTTAACATCGTGAGATTACAGTTCTCCAAGACGTTTGAACTATCAAAATATACTCCATTTTACCGATCTAAGCAAATTTGACGTGAAAACTATTCAGAGATCGATTACCTAGGATTCTACAATAGATTGCACGAAAATGACTACACTAAAGTTTGAGTGTGAATCATTAAGGAATGTCATTTTTTAAAATTTAGTATATGGATCTTACCGGATCACACTACGTAGAACTATATCAATCATATTTTATCACCAAAAAATTCAGAAGATCAATAGAAGACGTGAGAACTAACGATGGAGCTGACATAGCTTCAGATCAAGCCAAAAAAGCACAACAGTATGAAGGGTTGATACAGCCTTTATTCGAAATACTGAAAAACCCAACGAATTCAAGATAACTCTCAACAACAGATTCCAAAACTTACAAAATCTACTCAACGAAGAGGAAACCACCATTGAGAATAACCGGAAACGGATTGAAGAAGCACCAGTTTCAACGTGCCAAACAAGAACAGAGGAAGTGAAAGCAGTAGCTAAATATACAAGCAAGTAAAGAGGGCATCAAAGCCGACAAGCACAAATACGTTAAAGGCCTAACAGTGATAGTGGAAAAAGCTGCAAAAGGAGGAAATATGAAACAATTATATCACACAACGAAGAAACTAACAGGGAAATATAGTAAACCAGAGAGACCAGTCGAGGACAAGGAATGCAAGCCAATCACTGAAATTCAAGAACAGAGGAACAGGTTGGTAGAACACTATGAAAAACTGCAGAGGTGCTCTACGTTATATTCACGAAGATTTGGGAGGAAGAACAAGAAGGACGCTTCATCAAATAACCAAAGAAAGATCTCAGTAGGCGTGAGAACTAGAAAGACATCAAAACATCGGTACCAGGCAGAATTTTCAGTAGTATTTTTTCTACTGAATGGAAGATTCAGTAGACTCCCAACCTCGAGATCAACAGGCTGGATTCCATAAGGATCGATTGTGCATCGCTCAAATCGTGATATCGCGGATAATTTGTAAACAACCAATTAAATGTAACTCATCATCGTGCACCAGCTTCATTTATTGTGAGAAGGTATTCGACAGCGTGGATAGGAGAAACTTATGAAACCTTCTTCGTCACTACGATGTACCCCGGAAGATTATGACTATCATACGGAATTCTGACGACAGACTTCACTTTGAAGTTGTACATAGAGACAGCTCACAGATGCATTCCAGTGGAAGACCATTGTTAAGCAAGACTGCTTACTCCCATTTGTTTGCTTCTTTCACTTAATCATGTACACAATTCTTGTCATTCGGTTCCAGCAGCCCTTTTTCTGGAATAAAAAGCTGTGGGATTTTTAATTTCATTGCAAACGTCTTTACCTCTTGCATGATTTCAAGCATGAACAATTTTGTTAAGTTGCACATAGTAATGTAATTACTGAAAACAAAGTAGATTGGACACAACTGTTTTGTTCAATCTTCAAAACTATTTGTCTTCAAAAGATGAAAATGTTTATACAGTTTCATACTCATTGACTACTTAATCAGTGTTTACCTTAGACAGCTTAAGCTTAAAGTCTAGTTAGTTTAAACATTGCAATTGTTTCAACAGTCAAGAATATGTTGATCATTAAATTCATTGAGAATCAACCACTTCAGCATTCTTTAAATTATTGGATGATGATATAAACACCAAGTGTATATGATTATTTTATCTTTCAGTTTATCGTAAAACTTATCTATAGCGGCGAAAAGCCATAATAAAAAAACTGTCGAATATGTCTAACGTTTGAGGTTGATTTATCCAAAATGAAATCATTCAAAGATGGATTATTATTCATCAAACTACTTACTTAAATTAAGGTAAAAATTATGACATATCAAACTTAGTCACTGTGAAATAAATCGCAAAATGAGTATTCGTAAAAAAGATCATCTTTTTACATTGTGATAAAACAACACAAATGTGTATTCGAGGATCTCTGGTGAATTTTATATCATCAGTTTGAACGTCAAGGCAGTTTTGCTGCACGGAGCTGAAACTTAGAGAACTACTGCAACCACCATCATGAAGGTAAAAGTATTTATAAATGCTTGTCTACACAAGATACTCAACTTCCATTAGCCGGATACCATCAGTAACAGCCCACTCTGGGAGAGAACAAACCAGCTTCCAGCTGAAGAAGAAATTAGGAAACACGATGGAAATGGATAGGACAAACATTACGCAAATCATGAAACTGCATCTCGAGGCAAGCCCCGACTTGGAATCCGGAAGGGAAGCGGAAAAGAGGAGGGCCAAAGAACACATTACGTCGGGAAATAGAAGCAGATATGAAAAGAATGAATAACAACTGGAAAGAGCTGGAAAGGATTGCTTGGGACAGGGTTGGAGGGAGAATGCTGGTGAGCGGCCTATGCTCATTCACGAGGAGCAATAGGCGTAAGTAAGTAAAGTAAGTTTGATGTTTAATTTAATGCTACTTTCTTTAATATCCAGACATCATTAGAAGTGATTACTGTATTGTTAATTCAATGTATTCAACTCTATTTATTTACCAAACATAGAATGATAAATATTTTATGAATATTTTGGATATCATTTTATTAAATGTTTGTTTGTTAATAAACAAATATTTATTTAACAGTCTAGGTTTATTCATTACATCAAACCATTTCAATTTTATTTCGTTGAACAAGAAGTAGAAAGAAATCTACTTTCCAGGTAATAACAATTAACAACCACATTTAGTATAGCAGTAATCAGTAAATTATGACAAGTTATAATAAAATTGATTCAAAAAAAACTAATCGTTCAGAAGTTTCCATGAAAGTCATATTAATTTGAATTCACTTCGAATTGGTTGTTTGAGTGTTCCCATCGATGTTCAGGACTGTATTTGATCAGTCTTTTATTGACATACGTACATCCTATGCGGATCGCCTCGATACTATCTCAAATTACAAGTATTTGAATGATAACATTTTAATTTCTTCTTGTTTAACCATTATTCATTGTGGAAAATTGACTAGATTAAACAATTTCTAAACGTATACTCTTAGTGTAATAAGGGAGTCGAAGCCTACAATGATTGCTGTGTCTTGTCGAATTTATGATACGATACCAAAAGATTAGGGTTAACATTAATGTCTTAAGAAATTAGTGTTCAGCAAGCTAACTTCGTCAAGTACACATGATATTTCACCAGGTTTGTTCTATGTTGGCATTTCATTTCATTGCATTCATCCATCAAATTACACTTCATTGATTGAAATAAATAATCTAAATTTCATCTCAACATTCATTAAAAGCCTCCTTAATAAAAAGAACTGCGGAAATAGGAAAAACAGATTTTGAAAGTGTTGATGATTGGAATCCATCACTATTTATTTAAAAATATATAATATAATGACTAACACTCATTTTCATGAATTCTCACATATAACGTATTACTTACCAGTCATATATCCGTGAAATATATCAGTTTTATTCAGTGTTGGTGCGTGACCAATCCAAATTACCTCTTGATTATTGAAACTTTTGCCATACGTCCCTACAAAGTCGATTGATTTAAAAAAGAACACATAATGGATGTATGACCACATAAACATCAGAAACAAATAAAAGGAGTATTCTTTGTTGAGTTAAAACTTCAATCATTTATGAAACTCAACAATCTCCACAATCATATACAGATAATTATCATGTGCTCATTGGTGACTAGCTTAAATATAGATTTCCTGGAATTCTAGTGAGAATCCATGGCCAGTGAAGTTCAAACGTGTCGTATGTGAGGCAGTTAATCACTAATGACAATGGAGGACAGGCTAAAGGTTAAGCGTTCGAGACGTAAATATATTAGCTAAAATTCTACAATATATTAACTAAATATATCAGCTATAAACTCCAATTTAAAAGCAACCGTTAATCGTCTGCAGGTTACCCACAGGAAGAACGAACTTCGCTTACAAACATATCTTCAAGAGATAATAATGGTTTATCTACTAGGCGATAGTGGTCATGATGGTTATACAAAACTACGTAAGCATAAATACGAATAACATTTGGGCACAGAATCTATATAGAAGTTCATTTGTTTGGTTCTTATTAACCATTTGTGAGTGAAGTGTATGGGTGAATAACTTACAGTTTTGAAATACTATGAATTATGTTTAGCGTAAGTGAATTATTTTTGCAAAACAAATACTCAGAGTTTCTTTTCAACAAAATATATTGCTATCAGTGACAGGGTGAACAATTAACCGATACTGATATTGATATTAGTCAATACTTTGAAATTCTTTGAAGCGTTCTAATTTCATGATAAACAGTTCAAGCACTTTGATAACAAATTTAGTTGCCTAAAAGTGTCAAATTCGTATGTCGGGATTTCAAATATCTCTCTCAACAAAGTTTTTAAAATCACAGAAACAGGCTGAAAATGTTTTACCTAGTCAGTATTGAGTAGAAACTTTTCAAAAATACTTAGAAAAATAAAGAATTGTGTCTCTTTTTGATTGGAAAATTGCTTATGTTATTACTATACTTTGAGTGGTTCCACAAGTCTCTGGAAGAACAAAGTCGCTTGCAACCCTGTACATGCACTCAGTTTCCTGCAAATAATTAACCTTAGGTTAAAGACATTACTCATATTTCATGCTTCTACTTTATTCTTTGATTTGAAGTATTGAAGTAGTCTGTGGGATGTAAGAAGCGGCCAAGTAGTCAGTAACAATCCCACAAACAGTAGATTTATCAAAGTAAGAGATGAAGACAATTGGAACTTAGAACATGTGATTGACTAAACTTAAGCTAAATCTTATACTGATTTCAAGATTTCTCACATAATTCATTTAAATCTGTCAAGATCATCAACCGAAATCAACTGACGCCACAGTTACTTGTTAATTAAGACCTGGAGTATGTGTGCAGAAAATCTATGTCATACCTTGACCTTGATATTTTACTATTATTATTACTAACACTATGTTTAAGAGGCTTTTGTGGGGATTAATTTTATTTCTGGAAGTTTACTGTGACAGTGTTCTGTTTGACAAGTTAACTGGCATATATATATGTATATATATATATATATATAATAAACTCTGAAACGCATACACTACTGACCTAATTAATGTTACTGAATGAATTGGGTTATTTTCTATAATATTTATTTTCTATTTAAAAACTAAAAGAACGCGATCATAATCTAATTTATCTCAAATGAATTCACTTTTTGCTTACTGTTCACTTCATACATTTGTCTTATATTGTCCACTTCTAGAATAACACGATGATCCAATCGATAACCACGTATTCTGTGGTAAAATCCATCATTCACTGGTAAGTTAGGACCAATAATATGAATGATACCTCCGCCCATATCATAATTAAGTTTTAATCTATCTGATTCCTAAAACACAATTAAAATATTATCCAGTGAAGTATAATTTCGTTCAGAATACCTTTTTTTATAAAAAAAAATGAAACATGTTTAGTTGAATGATTCGTGGGAATTAGTTCTATTGTCTAATGAACAAATGAAAACCATAGAATATGGAATATTTTTGTTAACTTTGCAGTGGTAAAACCATGCAACTCTACAGTTTGAATCTGTCGATTCTCGTGTTATAAACCAGTAATGGCAATAATCGAAACGATAATATATATTAAATTCATTATGTATCGTTTGTTTGAGTGTTCCCATTGATGTTCAGGATTGTAATTGATCAGTCTATTATTCGAATATGTACATCCTGTACGGATTGTCTCGATATTATCTCATATCAAATACGTAATAGGTAGAAATGAATGGTATCTAGCAGTGGAATCCAGGACGTGTGTTTCAACCTATTCGAGACTCGTCAACTGAATGTACATGCATCTTAGAGTTGATGTTCACTTTGGAACTCGAACGGAGTACAGTTCGCTTCAATGGTCATCTCGTTATCTACTTAGCAACTGAGTCCAGATATCCGTTAGTCCGTGGATTGTGGTGAAGTTTGAATTCGTTTTGTATTGGTTGTTGGAATGTTCCCATTAATATTTAGGATTGCATTTGATTAGTCTTTTATTGACATACGTACATCCATATTGTTATTGTCTGATTCTTGACATATTAAACCCACTTTTAATTACCAGTTACATTCATATGTATTTCCTGTCGCAATGATTATCAAATTAACTGCTCACTATGTTGCATTAAGCTTTATTGTAAGTAATAATCTGAAAATTGCTGTGCGCAGGTTTTAACTGGAGTATTTTTGAACATATTGCCAATTATGTCTATAAAGATTACTAGAGAAGATGATAGACAGTTTGATGAGATATTATATAAGTGTCTGTAATTTGTTATAATTCAATTTTGTTTATGCCTGAATTAGCCTTCGAGCATAAAATAATTTAATCTGTTAATTTAACATTTCAATAACGATAACTAAATATGTAAAGATCTTTTACAAATATTTAATCCATAGAACTTACTAACTCGAAGAATGTATATAATTCATAAGGTTTATTGGCCTATGATTGACCTAATATCCAGTTACTATCTAAATACGTCAGTTTCATAGTGTAAAATGTGTTTGTGTGGGCTGTGATACTGTACGGGTGCCCAAACCGAAACAGGTGGATTTCTTAGAGAGCCACACCTGGACCCTTTGACCTAAAGCTCTGATCCACAAGGCAGTGGAGCAACGTCAAGAGATACAGCCCCATGGTAGTCAGTGACCAATAATTGGTTCATACACCATTTGTTTTCTCAGGATCCTAGAGCCCATGCACACCATTGGTTTATAATCAGGGTTATCCAACTCCCCTAGGTGGACCCTCCGTGTCCACTAACTCGGTTAGAGCACCGGACATTCACTTCTCGCCCTCTCATTTTCGTCAACAACACATCTACCACGAAAAGACAGTGAGTAAGAATTTCCTGGCAGTGGCTGTATTGACGGTGGACCACAGAACCATATAACAATGCCATATAATAATAAGTCTTGAGAAATATATAGATATTTATCAAGTCTTCAATGAGGTAAACTTGGTCATTTTGTAAACAATTAATGACTTTTGAATTTAATTGAATTTTCTCGTCATTTTTAGTCATAGAAATGCAAATACCTCCATAAACATAAGTGTTATAGTTATGTTACAGCATGACATTCGATAGACAACCTAAATTGAATATTCATTTTAGTATACTGTTAAATTATTCAACATACTTAACATAGTAAGGTACTAAGTATAACATAAAAATAGTACTTACTAAAAATAAATGTATAAAGTCACCTGTTTGTTTTAGGTTTGTAATAAATAATAGAGTTGCAATGGTGAAAATAGAATGACTTGATTTACTGTTACTTTTCATTGGAAGCATTTGAATACCAAGTGTAAATTCATCTTTTCTTGTATTTCTTAAACGATCTTTATACATAAAACGTAAGTAACCTATAGTTTCACTCATGGTTGTCATAGTCCAATTATTAACATTGACATTGATCCTTTGATCTTGATTAGAACCATATAGGAAAGTTTTACCGGCTAATAAAATAATGTTGTAGAAGTATATAAGTAACAATCAATAAACGTAATTATCTTACTGAATATGAATCTTCGTGATTAGTGTAACAGATACCATAAACAAACAAGTTATTGCATCAGTGGATGGTTGACAGAAATTACTACTGTGTTTGTTAAAAGATTTCTATTAACCTAGCTGTTCAATCAATATTTGTTATCCTATTTATTATGGTATAACACTTTCAAACAATTATTTTTCTATAGTATTACTGATTGTATCTATTCTTATCAGCAGTAATTTATAGTTTCGCAGCCTTTACGAACTTAGTTCGACATATTTATTTTATGTTCTACTTAAGGGCTTCTCTTATTTAGACAACCATTTAAGATCAGGAAGCTGTTTTGTTCTGGTATAGGATTTCTCGACAGCGTACAATGACGATCACACCGATAAACAAATCCAGCACATTCAAGTTTCGTTATGAGCACTTAAACGTAATGTCACTGGGCCTCCATTCAATGATTTACATTTTTGACTTAAAATTGTCTAGCTAAGATCAGGTGGCGATATGGATATAAATCTGTGCAACAGTATACTTAGGAGAAAACAAATATATAATTCAGTGACGACTAACATCTCATAGTTACACTAGTTGATTCATTGATTTTATAAATTATATACACAAATTAGATTAATGATTGCCCACTAGTAAGATTCATTCATTATATATTGATTGATCACAACATTTAAAATGATATGTAATTTATAATCAGTGTTTTTGTGGAAGTCTCTGAATAAGTGGTTGGTAAATAAATCAGTCTTCTTCGTGTTGGCTCAGGTATCTCGTGCCATTTCAACAGGTAGCAAGTAGCATTTACTCTTCAGTTATAGTGAACAGTCTTATAGGTAGCAGCAGTCAGAGTCTAGTTCAAATCGGTTTTGTTTCAAGTCATTACACCAGTTACTTTTACTGTGTGTTTTCTGACTGTGATATCTAAAACATTAGGGAATATTCTTTTGATACTTTCACATCGTATGAAAGTAAATGAAAACACTGAGTAACAAAAGAATATAGTAAACAGTGCAACTCATTCAAAATCTTATTCTACTAACTCCCAGCTTCAGTCTTCAGATGGTATCGATCCAACACTAATGTAATTGATAATTTTAGTTGAAATCATGAACTGAGGAATGTTAGACCACCAATGGAAACCTGAAAAACGTTGGCGACAGTTTTGTCCATTGTCGCGTGGATCTTTTTTTAATCAAACATAATAACCTTATTGAAAGATTTGTAAAATCCTTTATCGTTGTCGAATAATGACATCGCTAAACAGAATTCATGTATTTTGATTGTTTGGATCTTCCTATTGACGTTATGAACTGCAATTGCTCAGTTTCTATACAAGAATATACACCTTATGTGTTTCAGATTCAATAGCTAATTGGATAACGCAAAGAGCCGCTTAAATCGAATGACACTGGGTTCGAGGCCAGGTGTGGGTATCATCCGGGTGAAGAGTTCGAAATAGAAAAACCCCCTGTCCTGCATTCTACTGCTAGCTATGATTCAAATTGGTTTAAGTTCTATGCATAACTACATATCTAATACTCATACATTAAAAACATAATTAAGTAATTATACAATTAAATTTAAAATATCTAAACATAATCTAACCTCTTGTACATCGATCCCCTTCAAATGATGTTAATTCACAGGCACATTTGTTCGTAGTCCAAGAGTGTAAACATAAACCATCATTTAAACAATATGGTTTCGACATTTGACTGTTTAATTTTTCTTTCTTTTCATCTCTATTTATAGTATGATGTTTAGGATGTCTTTGAATTTCATTACAATTTAGAGCATAATTTGGACGTTCAAAACAACCAGGAATAATTTGATCATAGCACACTGGAATAGTCCAGTTTGAAATATACTTTTGTTTAGCTTTATTTAACAAATTGTAAGCGGGTAAACCATTTATAGAGAAGTTTCTGAAACATCCCTAGAATTTCGAAAAAGATCAACAAGCAAAACAAAAACTAGAAATCCCGAATGTTCTAACCAGGTTTAAGATCAATTTGTTCTATCAAGAGTGATTGATGGATCCCTTTAAAGTGCATTCATTGAGACCACAGTAAACAGAAAGTGAAATCTTATCCTTTTAATATTACAGAATACGTAGGATTTGTAATACCGAATTCATTGGAAGAGAATTCGATTTCTTCAGGAAAACAGTTGGCTGAAAACACTTTTCCAAGAATTATAAGTAAAGGTGGATAGTGGCTAGCAGTGCAATTCAGGACGCGCCTTTCGTTCTATTTGGGAGTCATCAGTTGGATGTACGTGCATCTCCGAGTTACTTATAATGCTTGTGAATTAAAGCAATATCGATGCAATACGCACAGTATGCACATATGCCAATAAGAGACTGATCAATTCCAGTCCTAAACATTAATGGGAAGATTCAAGTAAACAAAACCAAGTGAATTTAGCCATCCAAGCAGTCTCGTGAAACAGAATATGGAAAAGTCTGTGCAAGACATTAAGAGGCTCCATTTAAAAAAAAATAACAGTGTGCATCTTGGATTTAAAGATGATCAAACCCCTTATATAATAAAAAATCGGATGCCGATAGCTGTTTAGGGAACATTCTATGAGGCAAAGCTGAGATTAAAATTCAAGATTATAAACTGATTTTCTGTGATCGAAACGAATATAGTCCCTCGGTTATCCACCAATCAGTTCACATGCTCTTGAGGAGCAAGATACATAGGATGAACATGTCCAAGTGTTATTTCGACGAGGGTGAAAGGGAAATTTCATATTTCTAATGAATTTAAAATCCCCTTAGCGGTACGGTCGAATATGGGCTTATTTGCATAGTACCACACTAGGACGAAAAAGGCTGTTCAGTGCTTCCTAGCTCTCAGTGATGGTCCAAATAACATCAGTTATTCATCCAGTATATACAAATTTAACAATCTCGATAAAGCCACCTACAATGAGAATTACCATTTGATCACTAAATATACAATTCTCAACGAAATTCATACAGTTCATTCATGTGAGATGTCGTGACAAATTGAGTTCAATCGTGTTGTGTGTGTGGAGGTCAGACATGAAATACAATGTGAGATGGTCACACAATATGACGAGATGAGAGGAATTAGAAATGTATAGCATTGGATTTTGGTTTATTTGTTAATTTTTTAGACGTCGTCTCATGAGATTAAGGGTCCTATATTTATTCCGTTGTGGTAAGGTAGCTCATGCAAACTACTGTGGAGTCTGATAATAGTATGAGGACAAAAATCTTTTACTCCCTGGTTTTTCAGTGATGATCTAGCCAATTTTGTTTCACAATTCATACTACGGAAATTCTACAGCCTTCGCAAAATCCGTATACGAATATATGTATATTAACTATCAATAAGAGTGATAGAGCAAAAATATATGAAATCACTTTATGCCTTTGATACATTGTTATGTTGTGTTTCTCCAGAAGTATCTACAATATTGGTGAATAATTTACCGATTATTCATTGAGAAGATTTAGGAACTGAATGTTACACTACAGGTCCGTTATTTAAGTTCAGCAAACCATTTTATTTGAACGATATTCCCAATAGCCAGAGTCTTTAGCTGCCACTTTGATGGACCTTATTTCTATCAAAAATCTGATAACTAGTTGTTTAATCCGTTCATTATCCACTATCGAACATAATAGCAGAAACGTCATCTCAAGACCACTCTTCTAAGACATTTCAAGCTTAATCTGTCATGTAATTGAAAATTACGATAACTACCATTAGGACTTGAAAAAAACGTTTTATCTAGTTATATCTATTTGTACATGACTTATACATGACCTGATTACTCTCAAAAAAAGTTGTAAAGAGCTGATTACCTGAAATCCATGATATGAATTTAATTTTTCTCTCCATTTCAAGAAAGTGTACTGAGGAGTACCTCCAATAAAAAGTGGATCATTTAAATTGAAATTTCTTGAAGTATCACCATTAATAACTGGTATCATTATAGATTGTTCATTGAATTTGTATCGATCAATGTATAACTGTAAGGTATTGTTTTCTAAATCTATCCTAATCGAAAAGTTACAGTTCCAATGAATTCCCAAACATAATGTGATGTGTATATTTATTGAAAGACATTCATACTATTGAAAACGTTAATGATTTTTTTTAGAATTCCACAAATCCAGTTTATTACATAACATATAAGAGATATGAGGGTGAATACAATGTGGTCAGTAGTCTGGGTGACTCGATATTGTGTCCACTATGTTGAGATAAGATGGTGGTTGAAGGTTATCAACAGGAAACCCTGGATTTAGGTTTGGAGCTACTTGGCACTCGTCAGCAAGGTGTACCTGTAATGTTGAGGGAACTGACGCTACCTGACAGATTTGCTCTAGTGTTAACCAACTTCACAATTAGAGACGTTACCACTGAGCTATCCAGGCCGCGACTGACCCGCTGTAGGACTGAGATGTATTTACAATTGGTTGGTCACTAACTGGTGATCGATTTCATGTATGTCAGGTTCTTCTTATTGTAGATCGAATCCTATCGATTTTATGTACAAAGTTACAAACACGAAAATTCGAGAATAAAATAATTGAACTATTAACTACCTCTTCTATTTTTTCTTCACATTTCGCAAGTATAACTTATAAAGGAAACTATTATTCAGATACGAATATTGTAGATAACTATATGATGAAATAAAGTATAGTACAATTTGAGTTCAACAAATGTGAATAAATTCTAAATGCTTTTTATAGATACTGGTTTTGTTGTCTGTGATTCCTTTGAGGTTAATGAAGTTAAATTTCATCATCAAGAATATCAACTGTAGAATTCCAGTTGACTGGTCTATATTTTAATCACTGATTAAGTGACCTTAGAAAGGTGATAGATTTACAGCTAAGTACTGTCAGAGAGTTTTGTTATATTTTTCTAGTTCTCCCAAGTTTTCAATGGTTCTCTGGTTAATCTCAATACGTGTTTTATTCAGCCTAATATGAATGGACTAAACAAAATTATTAAAGAAATCACAAATGCATTAAGACAGTAAAAGCAAGGGCTGTACTGTACAGGACAGAAAACCCAATACTATCAAGTCCATCTATCTCAACTAGGAATTTAATTTTACTCTGGAGATGTAAGCAGTATAAATAGGATGATTCAGTTAGTTGTTGAATTTGCTACTTAAACCGAAAGATATAAGTAGTATGTAGCGTCAATCAGAAATGAAATGCCTGGCAGGCAAGGATTGAAATGAAGAGAAGAGGAATGAAATCGGAGAGCAATCAAAATTACAACAGAATTAGAGGAATATTGGAGTATACAAAGGACAATTCAAAAGAGATGTGAAAATGATATATTTAATGTATGATTTTCATATTTTGGTAAGACATCGTGTCATTGGTTTGTCCCACTAAATCTTCGTTCACTCCATATATACCGAATCTGATATATCCTATCAGGTATACTCAAATGTTTACCAATAAAGTATCACATCATTTTACTCATCAAATTTAGTTTATTCTCTAAATGTCACCAATGTTTTTACATGTCTAAGTTGTTTCATTTGAATTGTTTCATTAGTATAATTTATAAAACGACACTTACTCATGTTCCAGACTGGTTACACATTCTGTGTTTGAATCTTCTTCAATCCAAGTTTCTCAAAGTCCCAGTCATTCATTATATTCAGTTTAGGTTTCAAACCCAGGGCCTTCAGTCTCGCGCGCGAACGCTTAACCTACTGGATCAGTCAGCCGGCATCCAATGGTGTTAATGTGCAGCCTCAACCAATCCACGAAGTTGCGCGACCATCTTCCATTGTACTGAGGTAGACACCTGTTTCTACCCAACACGGATCTCCAGAACTCCTAAACTGATGATTACCATGTGCTCACTAGTGACTAGCGTCGTGAGAAAATCCTCGGAGTTCTGGTTAGAAGCCGTGACCAGTGGTAGAGACAGGTATCTACTTCAGTACAATGGAAGATGGTCGCGCAATTTCGTGGATTGGTTGAGGCTGGACATTAATACCATTGGATGCCGGCTCAGTGGTCCAGTAGGTTATGCGTTCGCGCGCGAGACTGAAGACCTTAGGTTCGGATCCTACGAGCGGGATCGTGGGTGCGCACTACTGAGGAGTCCCAAAATAGAACGAAACGGCCGTCCAGTGCTTCTAAGTTTTCAATGGTGGTCTAACATCGATCGGTTCATGATCTCCTTCAGTGTGTCTCCGAGTCACTTATACTTTAGTTGTATTCAAAGTAACCATTAGGCTCTAAGCTTATCTCATGGATAATTAATCAATTAGATGTCAAGGAATAACATACTCTAATCTAGTATTATCCTTATTCACTTGTCAATAAATGGGAGTTCGTCAAGTACCTAACTGATAAATAATCTGATGAGTACCTTATTCGTAATTTCTACGCTTGTAAAGATCATCGGAAGTTTTTCATAATATTTAAAAAGAAATAACAACAATGAATTATGATCAAAACAGTATAAGAAATTTTTCAAAGGATCTATCAGGAATGGAATAGATTTTTGAAGGATTTAAAATACCAAAAGATTTGTGAACATCTTTAATGCTCTTTCAAATGAACCACTCAATGTCACGTTGAATTTAGGGCCTAGTAATAGTATAAAAAAGAAGTAATGTATGACATTATCATCTTTATATAATCACTTCACGAAACCGATATATTTTCACAATCATACAAGTAGACTCTTAAAGCGGTTTATCATAATAACGTTAAACACTGCCTAGAAGAAAATTGTAGATCTATTTTAATATCAGATGGGTTTTGTGGAGATTGTAGTAATTTCAATGGTTAAGATCATGAGTCGGCTGAAGCTAGACCACAATGGGAAACCTGGAAGCACTGGACGGCCGTTTCGTCCTATTGGGGGACTCCTCAGCAGTGCACATCCACGACTTCGCCCCCTGCGAGATCCGAACCCAGGACCTACTGGTTTCGCACGCGAGCACTTAACCACTAGACCACTGAGCCGGCATCCAACAGTGTTAATCTCTAACTTCTATTTTAGTCAACTTATCAGTATTTCCCATAAATTTATTTTGTTTCTTTAGTTTCTTGAACATTAAAAATTCTTTAAGAAAATAGTTTCACAACTCACCTACTTAGTTCTACATGATGCCATCTGGAATCAGTAACTTTATACGTTGTCAAAGAATAATGTTGAGAACCACTTCCCATGTCGAATGCAAAATGTAAATAACTTCTAATCAATTCAAATGCTATAAAATCAACTCCTTGTTTGTTTGAATTAAATAATAATAAACCATTTTCTTGTGATGTACGAAATGAAAATTGTACATTGAATATTTCATAAAGATGCATACTTGGATTATGTAAGTAACAATCAGCTTCTTTAAATGTTACGGAATAGAAATGTGTATTATCATAATTTCTTTTGATAGTTGTTTGTAATGCATTTGTACTGTTATGTATATTTGTTAATAATCTTTGTCGGTGAAACATATCTATGATGGATAAAGTTTTTAACTTGCCTTTAGTTGTAGTAATCTCATTACCTGATACGTATGTGGTAAAATAAAATACATAATATAACCATTAGTCGTTTCAACTTTTTCCTACACAACAATACACATATGTCTATATATGAAAATATAGATGAATTAAGCATTTATAAGAAGTGATTTACATACCAGTTAATTTCTTAAGTATGATTTGGAAGACAGTTTATACTTATGATTAGTTTCTAGTTTAGTTATTAAATTCTATACAAAGCACAGATACTTTGAAGAAGAAATAGAGATTTAGTCAATTTATTCTTAAAGTTATTGAAGTGCAGTGTATAGAATGTTTCCTAGTTACTTCATTTATATCAGTATGGGGGTTTGACGGAGGTAGCAGGATTTCAATGATGTATACATCGGCACTTAGATATGAAACCCATTTCCTAGTCAACTATTTATACTTATCATTCAAGTAATCTATGATTAGCCGATTATATCATATTTCTACTCAACTTGTACACTAGTTAACGATTGATGCTAAACCACTGTATTATTTCTCATTATGTATTAGCTGCATTTTATACTTGATAAAGACTTCACATAATGTTTAAGATTGGTAACTGGTTCCAAATATTTCAATGAGGTTATAATCTTCACATTAACTGTATTGGACAGTAGATTTCCCAATATTTTTGGTTATTCGGTAAAGCATATCCAAGATCATAAGACTGTGGTGAACTATATATCACTCAAATACAGTAATAAAGTTCGGTGACAAAATATTTATAACTTTATTGACCTCTGAGTATTGTGGTATTTCACGTGTAAGAGGAAGTACTCATTACGTAAATAGTTGATCGATTAAAGCGCATAGATATCCATTTAAAGCCTATCTCCTTAATCAAAATAAACAGCGAAATATCATGGACTTATTGAATGTAACTCACTGATTCTTATTCCAGATATCTTATTATGTTAATCGTAACTTTAAGAAGTACGGAAATTTTCTTTATTTTCATCTGAAAGATTCGTTCTGAAGTGTTAGACGTACTCTCATTTCCCAATTTGTTCGAATACATCAATTTATTTGTCAAGTAATCAACATTAAACAGGTACCATTTATCGTTTTGTGCTTTTGATTCCTAAATATTTATAAAACCTTCATCAGATTGAACTTTTATGGATACTTAGAAATCGATGACAATTCGAATGGTTTGACAGATTGTGTACGATTAAGCGGAAGTTCATACCACTTTACTTCGGTAGTGAAAGTAAGATATGTATCGAATAGGTCTCAAGTTACACTGATGTATATATCCACTTAAACTGTCATATTGTCATATTGTACACAGTTCAAGTTATTATACTATTCATACTACTTATAGCTACAATAAGTAGCTCAATAGTAGTCGCTAACAAATTTCTAAAACCGAACGATGTTAAGAATGAACTTGGAACACTTCATGTTTTAGCAAGGATTAGAAATTTTCCGTCGTTAATGTTTAGAACTTCCACTCATCAGTTCTTCTTAGCCCTACGAGCATTAGAAGAAGATTACCTCTGTATTGCAAGTCTTTTTGCATATCTGTGATTAATGATGGAATCCAGGACGTAAATTTCTTCATATTTGGGACTCATCGAGTTCATAAACGTACAACTTAATGTTGATGTTTATACTGAGATTTGAATACAGCACCTTTTGCTTCAGACCCTAATGCCGTATCCTCTAAATTAAAAGGTGTTAAATCTGAGTTTCACTATGGATGCCAATAACGAGATATACGTTCGTGCATCTGACCAGTCTCAAATAAGAAGAGATGTACGTCTTGGATTTCATTGCAATCACATTGAAAACATACTAAAAATTTCGATATATTGTTGAGATATTTGAACGTTCTCATAACACAATGTACATTAACCTATATCATTATCTAATCTTTAATGTAATAGGGAATAAATTACTCATACAAACAAACAAATGTCAAGGAAAAATGTTGGGAAAAAGAATAGATATTTGATGCCATGAATGACAACCTCAATGAACAGAAATTAACTTCTTTCATGGAAAATTAGGCAACATACTAATCAAATTATCAAATGAAAGCTATTTAAAACTAGTATAAATGTAAGGAATTATTTAAATTTGTGTACTTACCATTATTCATTGATGTCTTCTTTGAACTAGGGCATACATTACATGTTTGATTTATATTCTTGAACTTTTGCATAGTATTATCAAGTTTTTCAAGATTAATCTAAATGTTTATGTTTAAAAGATGGGAAAAGAAACCAAAGAGGGTAAAAAATAGGTAACGTTATTTCATTATTTTGTATAATAATTGTATATTTAACCGTGTTGGGTGTGCAGACGGTAACTATTTAAGACAATAAATGGTCACTGAATATCGTGAATTTATTCCAGATAGACTTGTACAGTGTTGGATTCCAGCTTGTTCGTTTTGAGGTGAAATATCTGCGAGCGAGATCGAAAGTACTGTGTTCTATTCCCCGTGATGGGTCTGTGAATGCACACTGCTAGAATCAGTTAGCTGTCTAGTAATCCAACGTATTTAATGGTTGTATAACTTAAATCGGTTGCTGATCTCGACAATATGAAAGTTATTTAATCATCAGTACAGGGTTGTGGAAATTATTATTATCAGACCACCAATGAAAACCTAGAAGCACTGGATGACCGTTTCGCCCTGTTGTGGGACTCCGAAGCAGTGCGCATCCACGATCCTGCTCACGGGTTTCGAACCTATGTCCTTCAGTCCTACGCGTTTTCAGTGGTGGTCTAACATCAATCGGTTCATGATCTCAATCAAAAAGTTATTTTATTGTCAATAAATCATTTCAGGTCTCATAAACATTGATAAACTAATAATAGAACACTTGAACTATCATTAGTAGGTTGTTTTAAATTGTTGTACACTACGACTAGAATTATACATTTATAAATGAATTAAGGTTGTTATTTAATTTCAATAAAACTTTACTCATAAATAATTCATACATTTAGTTCATAAACTGTTTATGCGTTTAATTAGTGATTTACCTAAATTGTTTTCTCTATTATTTTTAGAAGTACTTGACTATTTAATTACTATCAATTATAATGTTGATTTATTTATGTGAAAATGAAATATATAGTAGTAAGCTATTCATTGATCACTTGAAAATATACTAGGTTTAAATAATCTCTGCTGTAATGAAAGCATTAACCACCAACTTAAGGGAATATGCTGGTGATATTGTAGTGAACAGAACACGGGTGGGGACAATCGAATGTAATTGATACAAAATTACAGGACTTGTTAATAAAATCTAACAATCATCAAGTAAATGCTTAATTTGCAAAATGTCCATCGATTGTCTCAAAATGACTCAAATTACATTGTTCTTGCATTTTCATACGAATTGCATTCTGTTTCGATTTTTTACTGTTCGATCTTCTTGTCTCTCTGCTGCCAGACCTTCTGTTCACGACTAACATCATATACTACTTATGTCAATATAAGTAGCACACACCACAAAGTACTTTCATGTATAATCAATTAGATAATGTTAATTTTTCTACTTAATCATTGAAAGATTTTAATAAAATATGATTATAGAATACTGTAATTTAAACAGGATTCTCTTTTGAATTCAAAACTCAACTTAAAAGTACTGACTTCTATAGAAAGATGAATTGTTGACAAACTTTTAATCCCAGGTTCGATCCCGATTAGGCGTGGGGATGAAACAAATATCCAGTACTTCCTTGCTTTTAGTAATCATCTAAATAAGATCAATTCATAACTCATATCACATAATCCAGAAATCTCTATAAATACTATGTGTTTCTTTGTAGAAAAGTGAGGTTTGTAATCTTCGATGATCTATGGGTGAAGTTTGAGCGGAACTTAGATGATCCTCAAATATCTCTACCGATTAGAAAACATATCATATAGAGTGACGATATAATATAAAAATCCATAACAATTATTTTTGATATACATCCCCTGATGATCTTACGTTGACCACGACACAGTGATCGTAGATGTGTTCAGGTAGGGAGCTATATGAACTCCATTCGTCAGTGTATATTGAGGTATCTAATTGTAGATACTCCATTATAACTGGTACCGAGGTTATTAAATTGTGGCTTCTTAAATTTTCAAAACGTTCATTCTGTAATCTTTCATCACAAATACCGAAGATTTATGGAAATTCTAGTTACCTGGTCTTCTTTGACATTCTCTCCTCCATTCAACTTTCCTTTCCTGATGATGGGTCCATCAATTTTTTAATATACTCTCTACACCTCAGAAAGATAGATATAAATTCATCACTTATTTTTCTGTATTAATCTAGAACACGCTGAAATTGTACCTGATCTTGCTGACTATTTTTTTTGACATTCATTACTTCGGAATACAACATCAGCTCGATAATCTATACACTGTCTAGCAGTTATTTCAAGTTTTGCCACCAAAATTAATGAATCTTCTCAATAATCCCAACTCTCATAAACGCTAAAATATAAAAGCTTTTTGAAATCAGCCCTATGCTGATCGTACTTATGCATTTTGCATTCAAATATGTCCCATGATCTTGGAGTTGTTCACTCAATTCTGATTGGCTAGTTTATAAACTACTGTCTCACCATAACATCACATTAGTTGTATATCAAAATAAAATCCATTTCACATGTAATTACAGTTGACAGTTAATTAAAGTGCACATCTTTCACTGACAAACAATATTGAGATTAGGTGAATCAATTAAACACATTATAAATGAAATACGTCAAGTCTAGCCGTCTTGTTTACTCAAACAATGATTCTTTCATCATTCAATGGCTTACCTGGAATGAATCAAGCATAGTTTCCTTTGAATGAATAGAAAATAAACACTGACAGACTAAGATAATAATTAGAAGAATACGAGTCATCTCATCGTAATGAAAAATAAACAACACGTCATATTCTTATCAAATTCTCGCTTAATATTTGATTGAACAACATCAGAGTACCAAATTAGTTGTACAATTATATACAACAATTTTTTATTCATTGATGTTATTGTATATCTAGATAACAAATAAAATGGACGAGATATTTATTGTTTAACAGTTCTATACTAGGTGCATGAAATAGTTAATTGTATGCACTACTGACTAAATATTCTTTTCAGTGAAGTCGAACTGAGAAACTCTACCTATACTACTAAATATTATGGATTTTACTATTCATAAAAGGTAACTAGAAATAACTTTATATTGACAATAGATAGAATGTGGCTAGAATTAGAATCCAAAACTCTTGTTTGGTTCTATTTGTGATTCATCAACTAGATGTACCTATATTTTACAGTTGATGTGCACTCAGTGTCTTTTGATTTAAACCCTAATACGTATTATAATTAGTTATTAACTCAAGAAAACTAGTTACTTGCGCAACAGGTATGATTTGTTATTTAATTGGTAATGGTTTTGGATGATCTTATTGATTTGATTGGATAGGGTGAAGTAACCACAACCTTTTGTATTAAGGGGACAAATACATAGTTCACTGATGGCTGATATCTCATAGTTACATCAGTTGATCTATTAATTTTATAAATTATATACACAAATTAAATTAACCACTAGTCGAATTCATCCAAAATTTGTTATTGTAGGAGTCCTCGAATTAATGGTTGGTGAATAAGTCAGTCTTCTACTACAGTCTTGTTTTCCTCCTCAGGTCGTCGTAGTAGTTTTGTGCAATTCAACAAGTAGCACATAGCAGTTTTTACGTAGTCATAGCAACCAGTCGTTCTAATATGACTAGTAACCAGGATTTAGTAGTAGTCACAACACTGAAAAATCTATCTTCTTTCTTACTACTGTAGTTTATTATGTATATATAAGGGATCTATTAAACAAATAAATTTTCAAACTACAGTTAAGTAAGAGTATCTGTTTACATTGTGAATGGATAAGAAGTGAGTTTTATGGATGTGGGATATTTTGTGTATGTACTATATTATGTACAATGACTAAATGCAAGTGAGCAGCTGTATTATCTGCGTAAATGTTATAAAATATATCTATTTGTGTACAACCATTTGCTATTAATCTTTGCTTTACATAAATTACATAAATTTAACCCTAAGGACATACCAAAGTAATTGAGGATAATGATTAAGATTCATCAAGAAAATTGGCTCGAAAATTTTCATGAAAATTTACCTAATGTACATAGATATATTCATCCACTCTACCATTTGATTTGTACTAATCGTATGCGGACATGTCTCATTTAATGGTCTAATTAAGACTGATTTTGTTAGGTTTTATTTTATTTTTATTCGTTAATAGGTAATCTGATGAACAACAATAAAGAATTTTAGAAAGTGTTATTTGGCATAGAATTCAATTCTGTGTTTCATCAATCTGGAGAAATTCATTAAATATAATCTGCCTAAATTAGGTGCACATAAACTATCCCTGTAACCTATTCATGAATCTTAGCAAAAAGATGTAAATCTAAAGCTAGTCAATATTGACCTCTACTTAAAATCTGGTATTTACTATCTACAAATACAGCAGTACCAAACCTGTGAACAGTTTGATTCAACCCATTAGTGTTTTAGCTCACTTATATGCTTTACTTATTCTTCTCTTTAATCTTTTATAAAAATAATGAAACCAACTTCAGATTTAAATAACATTTGAAGAATTACGTTTAGTTAACCTAGTTTTGTTGTTATTTCATTCTGATGTAGCTTAGAATTTTTTTTCATGAATTGTTTAATGAAGTACACATGTATGTACATTTCTGTTAATAACGACTGTAACTGAACAATATTATAAAGAGTATTATCACTTTTGAAATGAATTTATCAGATCAAAATGATCGTAATAACTGGCTGTATTGATAAGTTAATTAACTCTATGTCAATCGATTGAATGTAAGGCATGAATAACATTTGTCAACATATTCATTTGTATTGGTCGTTTAAATCTTCCCATTGATGTTTCGACCTGTAATTGATTAGCCTCTTTTCACATATGTGCATCCTGAACAGATTATCATGATATTGTCACTAAATTACAAGCATTTTTAAACAGAGTAAAGTAGTATCTAGCCCTGGAATTCAGGATGTGCGTTTCGTCGAATCTGTAGCATGTAAGCTGGATGTAGCCGCATCTCAGAGTTGTCAACATAAGTTAAAAAAAACTGTAAAATATGCTTGACTGACATTTTTCCTACTTTTTCTACTATCCATTGTATGTATCCGTATATACGCACAAAGTATAACAGAATTGTAAAATGATATTCCATCGTTAACAACCTTATCTACATAACTGGGAAGATATATTCTATCAAGAACGCTTACTGATTAATCTAAGTAATATTAGTCAATAATGAAAAAAGCAATCTAAATAATTATCATTATTCAAAACTGTAACATATAATTCACTTGGCATTGTTTACTTGAATCTTCCAATTGATGTTAAGGACTGCAACTGATCAGTCTCTTATTGGCCTACTGTGCGTATTACCTTGATATTACCTTAATTGACAAGCATTATAAACATAGATGAATAATGGCTAGCAATAGAATCCAGGACGTGAGTTTCATCCTATTTGGGACTCGTCTTTGCTTGTCATACATAATATTTCTTAATTATACTAAACTGATAAAAAGAAACATAATGGTTACAAAAGAATCATACTCACTTTGTAATTTATTCTTTAAAGAGATCATGGTAATTTTTAAGAACTTGGAATATGAATATTTTACCATGATTCTAGTGTAAATTTTATCATTCTCATAAATATATGTCAATCAACTGAATTTCCTTCTTTCCTAGATAATCTTCATTAAGATGATGATTCGATTTTACACTGTTGATAATCTTCATTCATAATGAATCTTTCATAATAAAACTATTACAGTTTAAATATTGTTTTTGTTTTTTTTCTCAAATGAAGCTTTATGGGATGAATTAAGACATTTCTTTCAGAAGTTTCTTTGTACAGATAATAAAGGAAAAAACAGTGATCTATTTTATAGGAAAGGTGAGTAGATGTAACCATATGAATTTCGACAGTACCAGATTTTTTTTCTTTTGCAGAATATAATATTAATCTTTCATGAAACTACAATAGATTACTTATGTACTTCATTTTCACCGGATTTGTTTTCATTGGTCTATTTTGAATTGTCCAATCAGAGTGGTATAGTTGTAAATAGAAAAAAACTTGTAAAAAATTAGTGTTAATGATAATTGGGTTGTTAGTTTCCTCCAGCCTTCCGTTTACACAGGGATTTTATTTATTAGGCTTTAATATTAGGATTATAGGATAATATATAAGTTATATCTGTTAATGTATACTATTCGACTTGTGAAATTATAATGATATCAACTCTGGAATACCGGTGCATTCAGATGACGAGTAGGATGAAACACCTATCCAGAATTCCACAGCTAGCCACATTTTATCCATTGTTTATCATCTTATATCATAAAGGCTATATCGTGTCAATCCGTATGCCAACCAAAACTGATGAAACGTTCAGTGAAATTTACCGATTATGGGATAGTCCAAACAGTTTCAAACTGAACTGGACACATTAAACGAGTAATCATTGTTATTAATAAGCGAATTCATTCAAGTTCCCCTCCTTCAGATATTTTACTCATACTCTGTCCATGGTAAATTTAACTAATCAGATAGTGTATATCTCAGTCATTAGTTCATAAAATAGCTTAACGCATTTACGACGACAAATCTTATCACAGAGATTTTTTTCGCTTTTGGTTCTATCTTCTTTTTCTCTATGTTTTCTTTACTCTCTCTCTCTCTCTCTTACCTTACATGTAACTCTGTTTTTTGTGTCGACCTAATCATGCTGTAAATAGGGATGCATTTTATAAACAATAAAGTTGATAACTTCTATAACTAACAAACAGAACGGGAACTACTTGAGTTTCGACAACATTCCACACAACTAAATAATATAAAAGAGATATGTCTGTTTTAAAAGCTCTACCAACAATATACGCAGAAATAATAGTTTACAATAGAGCTCAGATTGCATCAATTACATCACACTTGTGTTAGTCATGGTTGTGCATTTTTTCACACTTTTCTTTAATCAATGTCTACTTTTCAGTCAGTCACCAAGTACTAAAAAACACGTTTTATAATTCAAGGAAATAGAGGAGAGTTTCAAGAAACATATGTGTAGCATCTTCAGTTAAATCTCAACATTGTTTATATTACACCATTGTCTTGCTAATGTGAAGAAAGAAATAAAGAAGCAACGAGGTCTACTTTTCTAGACATTGTCTCCCTTAATTAGAATTCTGTAATGCATAAACCTTTAGTTTTGTGCCCGATTTATTCTATGAATTATAAGCCTTCGGTTAGTATGTAAATAACTTTCAGTTTTGGGGATTCGTGGAGATAGTGCTATTTTAAAAGGTTTTCAATGGTGGTCTAGGTTAGATTGACTAGTGTATTCAACTTTGAAGGGTAAATTACTGTCATATTCTCTTCTATTCCAAAACTATTGCAGCTTTCACGTGACTATTTTATTCCATTTATTCCACTTTAACGTACTAGTATAAATATGATTGTGTTTTTATCATTCCTTGTACATAATGGTTCTATGAGTCATATGTTTAGTACAAGCACTTTTTAGAATGAGTTCAATCAGTAATAAATCAGATGATCCTTCCAGTGAATTTGTCTTCTCTCTCTCCTGTTTCCAGTCAAATAAGCCACAGATCAGTAATCAGGTAGTTCTCTTTCCTCCCTCAGTGCCATTCAGTCACAAGTTCAATTCATGCATTGAAAGTTCTGAGGCTTTACTAAGCAATCCATCATGTCAAGGTTGTAAACTAAATCTAAACAACTCTTTTCTTGCAATACCAACACAAACTAGTCGGGGGATTGTAACACTTGGTTTTAGTTGAGAAAAAGATACATTAATAGGCATTTTTAAAAACTGTTGGGATTAGCGAATTCGATGAGTTCCCCTGATGTGAACTATCTTTACTGTTCTACTAATGAGAAATTTCCGAGGAAATATAACGAAATACGATCAACGCACCTTGCATAATAAAGATATTCTATACTAAAAAAGTCGCTAATTTATGAAAAGGGTGCGAAATGTTACAAGATTTCTCATTTAATTCATTCAGATGCGCGCTTAGTTTCCATGGCATAACTGTACTTCAGTCCGAAGTAGGTTATACGCAGTGATGTTGAAGTAACTGTTATGCAAACATTTTTATATCATCAATCAATGGAGTATTTTTTTAAATACATGAAGCACACTGTGTCTAATTAAGTAAATAAATATATTGGATTAAATCATGCGAAAGGTTAAATAAAGTGTAATGAATTATTATCGTTTACAAAAAAGCATTTCTAAGAAAAAATTTTTTAATTGTACGAATTGACTATTTATCAAACTAGTAGCTCAACTACTTACACCCACCCTCTCTATCGAGTGAGTAAGTGAGATGACCGAAGATTTAAGGACCAGTTTAAATGGTTTTCGTAACCCTGTCGTTACAAAACATCCGGAAATGGATGCCAAAATAAGCCTTTTCTCAATTCTTAGTGAAATCGTAAAGATTAAAATTAAGAAGAGCGACAGGTCATGGTGAATTAACTCCGGAAATGTTTAATTTTAATGACTCAGTATTGGCAGTTAGATTAATTGAGATACCAGTTAGATTCTGTTGGGCTGGAAGTAATTTTATACTAATTGTGTCTATCGTTGGTCTTCCCAGTTTAAAATGAAGAATGGAAATTCTTGTGTGATAAGTACCGAGGTATCCGTATTTTCTAGAACATTAGCCTCATTAATCGTCCAAATTTTAACTAGGGCTTGTGAACAACAATCCACCGAAGCCAAACTGGTTTCGACCAGGATGAGAATAAGTCAACCAAATATTCACCATTCACCAGGTTTAGCGAGATATATATACCTACTGACTCTCTTATTTAGAAGCATTTTTTGAATTGAAGAATGTAGTCAACTCCATAGAAGATGTTTTATGGTAGAGTCTGTCAGTGAAAGGAGTACCAAAGAAATATATGAACCTAGTGAAGCTTCTCCGCTCGTACACTATTTAGAGAGTCCCAGCCTATGATGAATTGTCATACAAAGTGATAATGTCATTTGATGTTCGTCACGACCATCCACCTTCCTCATTTTTATGTTTAAATTTGTCATACATGTCATGTTTTGTACTCTGACGTTTCGAGAATTTATCTAACAGTAGGTCTATTTATTAATTTTGCACACTTAAGTGACAAAGTTCAGTTTAGCGAATTTGTTCATAAAATCCAGTGTCTTCTGATCACTTTGGACACATTTCACTTCATCCAAATAAGAATGTTGCTTCGTGATTGATCTATAGCAGCGTCTGAACCAACGACTGGAATTGAACTAGTTGAGCGCGTCGAAAATTTTATTTACATTGTATGCTCGATAAACTTTAGTAGGTTATTTCACAACAAAATGTAGATACAGATTCAGAACTTCTGTTGACCATATTAGTCACTCAAAGGACAAGTATACTATGCAATAGTTTGTTACGTTCAACTTTACGGTTGTGTAACTTTGCCTTTAGGAATAGTAGATATTCTTTTGCACGTGAACTTAGATCGTTTCGGGGCATGATGTGTTAAGTATAAGAGCACCGATTGAGCAATCTTAAAGCTAGGCAGAAAATACCAGATAAATATGGCAGATTGGTGGAGGATGTAGTAACTCTTGAGACATAGGTTAAATATACCCTCTCCCTTTAAATCCAGATGCTGTTTTCACGGCTGTCCTGCCTTAATACCTGCATTAGCGATAAGGAGTGAAGTATTTGGGCATATCAACCGCTTCGCTTATCCGCGAAGTCCTGTCATTCTTGATGGCCTGCTGTCTGGCAAGGTCTTAGCACGGATGCAGAAAACTCGACTAGCTTTTGCCAACTTGCGTCGATTGTAGCGTAGGCAAGATATCTGTCTGCCCACAAAGGATGAGTTTATTATGCGAACGTTTGTTCTGTCCTATTTCATATGCGTAGAAAATGGTCTTTAAGAATAAAGGGTAATCGTAGGTTTCTAGTATTCGATCATAGGTGTCTTCGAAGCGTTGCTTGTTCATTTTAGGACCGCTGACTAAGCAATCGGTGAGTCGAGAATAGAGTAATAGGTGAAGATGAAAAATCGATTGTGAGAGGTAGTAAGTATTTGTCAACTGAAGTGGTTGGAACATGTGTTATATATGTTAAGCCACCGTCTACCTCGACAGACGGTGTTGTCTGATGTAGGAGTAGGCTGGGAAAAGCAAGAGGTGGTGTAACCGAAAACTGACATCAGTATATGAAGTCATCACCAGTCAAACTGATCCATTTTAACAGATATAGACTACCTGGTTGGGGTCCGGTTGATTTTTGTAACCAATGGTTAGCGACTCTGAATGATAATGCTCAAAGCAGTTTGTAATTGCATAGGTGTTTTCACTCTTTGTCTTCCCTTACCTCCTAAGTTTGTTATTTCCTCAAAGTCTTCTTCTCCGTAATTTCACTAATTTATATTTTCTTCTGGAACTGTATCTTGAATGCCTAAATTTTCCTGTTACCATTAATACTGTTATTGTCTCTACTATTCTGGGATTCTCACAGACAATTTGATCTTGCTTTTCTAATTACTGTATGGCAACGTGAACCAATATATATGTGCCAGATTTTATGTTGCCTTTCACTGACTACCTGATTTTCCATTGACTAATACATTTGTCAAATCACCATATATAAAACTGTATAGCGTCAGTAAATTGTACCACTTAATTATCCTTATTTCTTTTTCTATAACTTCATAACGTTGTTTACTTAGTTTTCTGATGAGGAACTGCTTCAATGAGCAATAAACTTGGTAAAAAATGAAATAACCGAATTATTTATAATTCTATCATTTAAATTTTGTACTGATTACCATTATTTTTTAGATAGGTTACAATTCTGTTAACTTCATTCATAACTGACCTAAGTAACTTCGCATATATTCCTAGTTTGATTCTGGGAGTTTAATTAAGCTAAGTTTTACTCTAGTAATCCAAAAGTTAAAAAT